AATGACATTTTTAAAAATAAACAAACCATAATAGCATTTTTACAAATATATATCTAAACATGATAAAATATCTAATCCTAAACCGAAATATCCCAAGTCTCGTCGTCACCGACAGGAGCTGGTGGAAGGAAGTTACGAGACTTGAGGCTTGTCGGTCCTGCCAAGTGTTTTAATTGTCCAACCCTTAAAAGAAAATGTTTCATAAACACATATAACCATTTTTAATGCTCGTTCATTGTTTTTTGGTTATGTGTATTATATGTTTTCAGTTTTTAAGAAAACGATTTGTATTTTTAGTATTTTTGCTCTCGCAAATTTTGTTTATAATCATTTATCTGCGATATATTAGCAAAAAGGGATTTGTGGAATAAAGTCACCACTAGCTAGTCGCAATGATTTATAGACTTAGTAAAACGTAAGTTGGCCTGATCGTATTAGCATATAGAGTTATAGTTTATTAGAGTTAGGTTTCCTTTAACTTAACAATATTGTACATGTTATACTTAAGTGTATATATACTATTAGTTGTACGTGTTAGAGCATGATTATAGGTGGGTAATAAGAGTAAATATAGGAGTTTTTAAAATATAAAATTATTAANATTTNAGNAAAANNANGANAGANNGTGTTTTTGTGGGGTGTATTGAAATATAAAATTAATAAAATTTGAGTAAAGAGAGGAGATAGTGGATATTTTTTGGAGAGAGGGTATGTATAAGTTGTATAGGAAGAAACTTTTGGAGATGGGTTTTAGGAGTGTTTAAATATAAAATTAATAAAAGTTGAGTAAAAGGATGAAAGAGAAGGTATAAAGTTGAGTAAAAGGAAGAGAGAGTGTGTGTTTTAATAATTTTATATTTAAGAACTTGCTATATTTACTATGGATAATCATGCCCTTATACTCAAGTGTATATATACTCTACGTATTTGTAACTTGTTTTGAATTTGAATCATGTTTAAGTATTTTAGATTCAAATTCGGGGTTTACTTTAAGATTTTTATTCAAATTAGAATCACGTTTAACAATTTCACTTGTATATGCTAAAAACGGTCTCTTGACGATTTTCTTCTTTTAAAATTATTTGGGGTGTTGGGATATCAATCCAAGTCCTACATCGGAAGTTTAGACAGAAATTATCTAATATATAAGAGATATTCAACTCTAATTAGTATGAAACATTTTGGAAAAGAGCCCAAAAACAAATCCGTGCGGGTTTTGCCTCTGGACCCAAAACGGACAATATCATACTAATGGGAGGAGTTAGACATGAGTTTGGAAAGCCCCACAACTGGTATCAGAGCCTAGGTTCGGAAAAGTGGATCTGGAGAAGTGGGTTGGGTTTGGGTGTTCGATGTGGGAAGAGAGTCCCCAAAAAGAAGATCTCGCGAATAAGGGTGCATGAGCCATGTATCGAAAATATTCATAACGGTGTCCAAAGGTTAGGTGAAGAATATGCGATACAACAAATTCATGCGGGCTTTGCCTCTGGGTCCAAAGCGAACAATATCATACTAATAGAAGGAGTTGTACATGGGTTTGGAAAGCCTCACATAGGGTTTGTATACATTTTTAAAGCACCGTAAAAATAGTAAACAAAACAAACTTTGAAATCATATCTAGACGTTCATTTAGCATTGGTTAGCCTAAAAAAAAAATAGTTAAGGGGCTGATCCTGATATTTAATTTGGGGATTCAAGATTTTTTCTGTCACAAGAGGAAAATTAATAATACTGATCTACACGATTAATGTGAAACTAGACACCGGAGTAAGCGACAAGAATTATAAAATATCAGATTCATGTAAATTCTAGTTAATACATTTATGGACTTCGTTGGTCCATGCACCTTTATTGACTATAAGGTTACAAATACAATTAATTCGACGACAAAATTAGATTTCTTAACCGGTTCCAAAACAAGCGGTCAAAACAAGGATCTGTTCGTCAAAAGATAAGACGGTTCCAAGTGGAGGCAAATTCAAAAGATAAATCAATTGTTTAGTAATAATATGATTTCGAATCGAAATTGACTATCTCCATAAATCGTTTTTTTGTTTGTTTATTAAAAACTATAGGCAAAAAAGAAGCAAATTTATTTACCAAAAAAAAAGAAGCGAATTCATATCTCCACTCTTCGTTTTGGTTTACGTATCTCTCATTTATCGTTTAAGCTGAAATTAGATGACTGATTCGCATTGTGTACGGTATAAATACAATTCTATAAATATTAAATATATTATAAATTGTAAAGTATGAAAAAAGAAGATACCATAACATGTAAAAATTGATGAAAAAAGTTTTAAATGGGTAATTCAATGATACGTTGAATAATAAAAATTCTCTAAGAACATAAGTCTATTTGAAAGAGTAT